TTCTGGATAGCAATATAAAGTCTATTCATCAGTGCGTATTCATCAGAGGTATTGTATATATACAAAAATTCTTTCAGCTTTTGAACTTTTTATTCTATTGACTCATTTTTGTTTTGTTTGTTCTATTTTGTTATTGATTTAGTTTTAAATTCAAGCTTATTAATAATTGGTTACAAGTAATCGGTTACATAGCTGTTATTGATTCCTGAAATCGATGCCCAACTCTTTTATGTAAGTCTGTATATACTGTATATATACATTGAGATACGTTGTACGAGCTAACTAACGTAATATAAATTTCTATTACATAGTGCGTAAGCAAGTACATTGTATGAACAAAAGTATTGTATATAAACATGATGTTTAAGTGCTCATGAATGTACAACATATTTATGTATTCACGCAGTAACTATTTTTACAATTATTCGTTAGATTATGATTGCTGGTAAAAATGGTTGCTTGTAATCGTACTTATTGATAACATTGACTGTATGAAATAAAGAATTTCTGTCACTTGTAACCATTTACCAATTATCGCATCTTGTTGTGATTACAGGTAATCATAATCACTTTCGATCTGAAATCTTTACGTGTAACTTCTAAAATAATTGCAAGTATATTAATACCATGTACGTTTTATTTGAAGTTGTCACAATCGTAATTAATTAGAGTTCTCCGTGCCCATTTTCGTAGAGCAGTGAAATTATTCAGTTATTCTTGATAGAGCCCGACTTAGCCAAATTGGTGATCAGGACAAAAACTTCTTTGCCCCCACCCCTCCGCTTCACTACTTCAGTAATGAAGAACCAAACTTAATGGCGGTATTTAAATTTTTCGCCTCATTACAGTTATATAACAAGAAATTTGATTAGAACTTAAAATAGTAAGTCTCCCTTCCTCCAATGGTCAGAGGAAGTATCGTTCTGTCCAGTTTATTGATTTTCTGACAATTCTATGTTCATCATGCCAAATGCAGTTCTCTGATTGTTAACTTTGTCACCTAGCTGCGAAAAATTCATATCCTTGCTGACATTAGGGCGGAATTAAGCTAAATTTTCGCAATAATGATAGCTCAATTATGCCAATCAGAAACCCTTATTTTTTGAAAACATATCGCATTTTACGATATGCAAAAAAAAAAAAGGCGTTTCATTGGCCAAATTTGTCCATCGTCATTGCAAAAATTTAGCTGAATTCCGCCCTAGAAAGCCATGGATTTACGAAATATAGATTTTTATCGTTCATACTGTAGATTAATGAAGAAGCTAACACAAAACTGATGGATTTAGCATTGTACATATATTTTGTTAAAAAAAAAAGTTTATTAAAGAAGGAAACCTAAAATTAACTTTCTATTCGATTTGTGGGCCCCCTCTGATGTGGGAACCCGGAGCAGCTGCCCCTTATGCCCCTGCCTTTGTCTTGTTCTGATTCTTGACTAATGAATAAAGAATAATAATTGAAAATAATGAATGATTTAATCAAAATATTTCTGACTAATGAATAAATCTTTATTCACTATTCAGGAATATTTTGAATGATTATTCATTATTCCGAATGACAAATGCCCATCTCTGTATCATTGACAATCGAAATGGGCTACAGGTAGCGTAAAGCAGAGCTCTCTATCCATGACAACACTTCCCATGCTTTCATCAGTAGCGAGTGGAGATCTCCACATGACTCGAGCATGGATCCATGGACTCGAGTCATGGAAGAAGGAAGTATGTTAGTTTCTGTTTTGACTTTTAGATAGATTAAAATCTTTCAAGTGAAGAAACTACATTACTGAAAACTACATTAGGCACAGTTCTAAAAGAAAGCGTCTAGGAAATTAAAAAAAAAATATATATCTTTAGCAATTAATTACGAATATTCAAAAAAGGAAAAATATCGTAATACATTCCTATACAACTGGAAAGAGGAAAGGGGGAAGGGCCAAAGGTCTTCTCCCCAGATGGTGTATTCGAGCATTGAGATCGCCTATAGCTATAGATAAAGAGTACTTCTTCAATATACAGTCAATAATCCATCGTATCGTATCTGCTGCCTAACACAAGCCTCCTGTCCGCAGTGGACTGATCGTTAAGACATGGTTCCCAGCAGATCACCGAAGTCAAGCATCATTAGCTGTGGTCAGTGTGCCGGTGGGTGATCACTTGGACCAGTCTGCATAGGGACCAAGGGTGTGCGGCATTGGTCCTCGTTAAACTATTCTGCCATAAAGTGCTCGTCTTCACGTGCAGGTCATCAGGCTACCGAAGTGGAGGTGCCATCCCCTCCGCAGAGGATCAAAATTGTGATGACATGTCTTTGGATCATCATCAGGGATGTTTTCCAAACCATCGCCAATAGCCCATTGAGCAGCTCTAGTTCGACGTAAATGAGCTACAACTACAACTCACCCAAAGCCTTATTTCTGATGAAAATAGAAAGCTGTAAGCTTAAGCAAAGATCTCGTCTAACTATCACTGATTCAGGTATCAATCATTCAATCTAAACAATTCGAGCTTAGATATACATGTGTTAGGAAAACCGAATCAGGAAAAATGTGCTCAAAATTTGTGTATCATGTTATACAGCAATTCTTGCTTTAATATGTGTGAAATATATTCATTGATTTTAGTTTGTTTGCCCTAAGATTCTTACACAGTGTTTGTCGAGAAGACATTGGCAATAAGTGAAGAAAAATAATTCCAAGCATTAAATGACAAAGTGTTTTAAAATAGTATAAAAGCGTAATTTCTATAAACTGTTTACCCGTTACAGATCTTGTTTGTATGGTACAGTAGAGAACCAATTATCCGGGATGCTCGGGACCATCGCTATCCCGGATATCTGAATTTCCCGGTTTTCTGAATCGACCAAAAAGTGTCGTTAATCGATGTTTTATCGAACCCAACCCGAAGTACAGGGAAAAAGTGTATTGCATAAAGTAAGAGAAAAAAGAAAGGTACTCCTAACTTTAAAAAGAAAAAAAAAATGGTAGAAATATAACATTTGAAAGAATAAAAAATTTTTTAAGTTTAGACAAGAAAATCAAGTTTAAAAAATACAAAATTCTCATATTTATTTTTTAAAAATAATTACAATTCCTAAATTAAATAATATAAACAAAAGCAATGATTAAATAACGCAATATATTTCATACCTAATTATAGGGGGGAAACGATAAAATAAAAGGAGAACTTATTAATCTACATAAAAACACTTGAATTTATCGAACCGAAACGATAGTTAAAAAAGGCACTAGCATAAATATTAAAACCCGGAACAAGGCAAGATCAACGGAATTCAAAAAACTAATGATAAAATTTATGAATAAAAAGAATTAATTTATTGAGTGCGAAATTTATCGCGAAAAGAAAAAAAAATCAAACGTAGTGGAATCAGAAAAACAAAACTGCAATCTGCTTCATAAAATAATCCTATGTTTAAATTAATAAACAATTCTCCTTTTATTTAATTTTTTTTGTTGATAAAAACAAGATTTTTAATTACAGCAGATGTGATTCCAAGTAACTA